GGGGGGGGGGGGGGGGGGGGGGGGGGGGGGGGGGGGGGGGGGGGGGGGGGGGGGGGGGGGGGGGGGGGGGGGGGGGGGGGGGGGGGGGGGGGGGGGGCGAGACGCGAACTTTGAAAAATAATTTGGCTCAGGGGTGGCGTGAAAGACAGAAAACAAACCGCAAGTCCCGGGGGGCAAGAACTGTTTTATCCCTAAGCGATGAAAGATAAAAAAAGCACGATGAGGAGGGTGAGGAGTGCGAGAAGGAATCAGGGGGCTACGAAACGAATGAGGGAACCAGTGCTACTGTCACACACGAGGCATAAGGCAGGTTGCACGCACGTAAGCAAGCAACCTCACAGATATGACATCGTGCGAACCTTCCATCCCCCACAAACGGCAGGGAAAATTGCTGTAACAGGCGGAGGTGACATGCACCCAGGAGCCCCGTGGCATTTCTACATGACCCTACCAACTCTGGCCACGGCACACGCCCGCGGCTGGTGAATACTGTTGTTGTTGTTGTCTTCACATTAAAAACCATCCCGGTCTCTCTGTATATTACCTTCAATCCCACATCATGTAGAATGCAGGTGCTCTTCGGACATGGTGTCTAGTCTTAGCAGCAACGCGGTGCAGCAGGGTGCAACCGAGTACCCCCCCTTCCCCTCCCCTCCTTTCCTGTGATGTGGACCCCTTCGTGTCCAACGGCTCCCCCATTGTACACCCGAAACACGCCCTTTCGGCTCACTTTCACAACATTCCTATTATCTGTAAAAAATACTACCCTTTCGCGCTACGAATCCTGCGGGGAATCATCTAGTAAAGGTGACCCAGTCAGGTAGATAGACAGCTTTGCCGCAACTCTCGGCAACCACGAGCCTGAGACGAGGAGATAGATACATCGATCTTCTAAAGAAAAGTGCAAAAATTGGTGAACAGTGTGGTTGACTTGGACGGGGTACAGGAGGAAAGGGGCAATTTGCTTTCAACTCGCATGGCCACTTCGTGAAAAAAAAAGGTCGACCCGCATCGGCTGAACCGCGGGCGGAGCAACGTGAAGACTTTGTTAGCGAGGAATTGGTGAAACAACGGCTAACCCCGCACACGCGTGAAGGCGTGGGTACAACATTTTGGAAGATCTGGTTGAGTTAGGAACAGGTGAAATCATGGTTGGCCCCGCACAGGGGAAAACCGTGGCGGAGCAACCCTCGGAAGATCTGGTTGAGAAAAGAATCGGTGTAACCATGGTTGGCCCGCGCAGACTAATAGCCAGCAGCACGGGGTCGAATTGGTGTGGACGGATCAACTTGGAAGATGTGATTGGAGAAGAATCGGTGAAACCATGGTTGACACGCACGGACGAGTGCAGTATCGACCGAATCATGGAGATGGACGAAGCAACTTTCTCCTCTCGAAGCGGAGACCTTGTGAACCATACCGTACTCGATGCAACCATGATCGACCCGCACGGGCCGGAACATGGACGGAGCAACTTTGGAATCCGGGGTCCAAAAAATCTGGTTGATTTAAGAACCGGTGAAACCATGGAGGTCCCGCGCGGTTCAGACCAAACCGTGAAGGGGGATAAGATGGTCGCTCTCGCATGGAAGATATGGTGATGTGGTGGAACGAGGAGCGACCATCGGCGAAACCATGGTTGGAACCGTACGAGACCACCGTGAACGGACAAACTTCGATGCTTTTACACAAAAACACCAAGCAAGAATTGCTTGAACCGCGCTCCATGAAACCGTGCTACGTGGTGAGAGATGCGGCAGGGCGCAACCCCTAACACCATCGTACTGGTATTTCTCGGTACTCATATTGGTTGGCAGGAGGAGCGGCGGCAACAATCCGGCTTAACCCAATTTTGATTTTTCCGTGACAGGGCACAACCACTCAAAGTATCATTCCGATGCATGGAAAACACGGGCAGGGCATGAACATGTACTATTACGGACTTTCGGGCACGTGTTCTTCCTGCCCACCGCAGCGGCGCACAACGCCTCAACAGTTTGCCCAATTTCGTCCGAAATACCTTCCGGCGGTGGGTATGAATGCTGTCTTCACATTATACCCACCGAAATCTGCCACTTACTATATTGATATTTACGCCCACTTTTTCTCCTGTCTGACCCACTTTTGTCCGAAATGCTTCCACTTTCATCCGATATTTTCATTCGAAAATCGATCTCCACGTCACCGCACGCAAAAGTGGGTAGCACAGCAGAAACGGGTGGGTATACATGAAAAAAAATAGGAAATTTCGGTGGGGGTATAACTACCGCAATTTCGAACGAAATCGGGCAACCTGTTGAGGCCTTGTGCGCCGCGGCGCTGTATGGGGTGAAGACGTGCCCGAAAGTCCGTAAAAGTCTATGCCCATGCTGTGAATGGGCCCTGCCCATGTTTTCCATGCATCGGAATGATAATGTTTCGAGCGCCTGTTCCCTGTCACGATTGGTCTCCGAAATGCAAAAATCGCGTTCCCACTATTAGTCTCAGGAAGGGTTGGGTATACTTGTACCCACTTTTGTCTACGTTCTTTTTCGTTCAAAACTTTTCGTCACCGCTCACAGCGCTTTTTGTGCCGGGAAGGAGCTATCTCCAACAGTGTTGGATATTGATTCAATAAATAGATTCGACATCCAACACTCATCTCCAACCCGTGGCCAGTTACACATAAGGGTTCCTCCCCCTGACGCCCCCTACCGACCAATATTTCAAGAAATGAGTTCGTGTGTAAAAGTCAAATTGCAGGCGAGGGATACACACGTTTTGGTCCATTCCGGTGGCAGGTCATAATCGGGAATGTTTTGCGCCCAAATTAATTCAACCCGATCTCGTTAATACCTTCATCTTAAATGTAGCGGGGCAACCCGAAGAGCGGAGGGTTGTTGTTGTTGTTGTTGTTTGTCTTCACTTCAAATCAGCGCGCACGGCACTAGTGCTGTTTACTCCAACCCGTGGTCACACAGAAGAGCCTCTCTCTGCCCTCCCCTCCTGCGGTACTTTGCCTTCGATTTTTTATGCGAGAAGAGTTCAGCACTCTCTTCCCTCTGTGTACACTCGAACTAGCGCTATCCACTAGGCCAGGAGCGGAAGCGAGAGAAAAACTCACATTGCAAGAAAAGCTCGCTTACGCCGGGATTCGAACCCCTGACCTGACCTCTAGAAGGTTTCGAGGTTACCAACTAGACCACCGGGGCGACAGGGTAGGATCATCTCGAAAAAAATCCGCCTTCACGCCATTCTACACCCCGCGTTCAACACGCTCGTGTGCTTCTTTCGATGTCTCGCAGCAACACAAACAGCATCGCAGAAAAATCAAACGACTCGTGCGCTGCGAAGAGTGAACGTAAGCCGCCGTTTGTACAATTGCAGTACAAGCTCCACGACACCCCAGCCCCCCCGGTTGTGCTGTCTCGGAATAAGCACTTGTATCTATTAGAGAAGGCGCTGTGTGGGTGCGATATTGCTGCAGCCTACAGCCGCACCGCCGCTCCGCTTCGCTTTGCTTGCACACTCACTGCACACGCTTGGAACAGAGCCAACGGGCAATATAACAAGACAAGAAGGTACTGCTGGAGTGCTGCCACGTCATGCCACAGCAACTAACAAGTAACACGACGAGCGCACCCCTTGACATCAACTCATCATTGCACACCACCACAGGAGCCGATCATATACATGGTGGAAGGCTTTTACATCACACACCACAGGAGGAAAGACGGGGCAGTGTAACGTTGATGAAATTAAAAAGCCTTCCATGTGACCCTGGCTAATACTGATGTACGTGACATAAATGTACACCGAGAGGAGTGTAGACAAACGCCAGGAAGAAGAGGACGAACACACCGATTAAATCCTGGTCTCCGTTGGAAGCGACGCGCTGCAAAGCTCGTTGTTAGAAAACTTTATCGACTTCATAAGTCGCGAGGGAAGGGGTTGCTGTACCCTTCTCGAAATAAACATATCTCAGGCAGGAACCGCAGGAGGGGGTCCAACCCCCATCCTATGTGACCCCGGTTGGGTCGTCTAGCTGGTAGAAGTGGAGGATGGGGGCCAGAGGGGCAGACGACAGAGTCCGATGATGGGAGAAAAAAAAAAAACATGCTGTCATCGATTTCGTCAATCTATATATATACCTGCACCCGGTCGCCCCGGTGGTCTAGTGGTATCCCCGTAAACCGCTAGCCGCAGAGGTCGTGCGTTCGAGTCCCCTAGGCTGAAAAATTTACAAACTTTGCGGGTGAAAGCGAAATATTGCTGAAAAGCTCTCGTGAGTAACAAACTTCGACGTTAGCACCGTTAACGAGGGAAAGGGATGGCTGGACCCTTCTCGCTAAAAAAATCAAATATTCAGCACGCACCGCAGGAGGAAGGTGGGGTATGAAAATAAATAAGAAAAGAAGAAGAGAGCCCTGGTGTTTACCCCCTCCTGTGTGACCCTGGATGACTGTAATTGTACGAAAACATACACTGAAATATGTAGCACTCTTCATCCGCTGTAATAATGTAGTACACATCTCACCACGAAAAATGGGGGGACTGTCGCCATAATAAATAGACTACTAGGACGAAAACACACAACACATACCTCCCTCTGGACTAGACTTGGATTGCTTTTGGGTTGCTGGGGAGAAGAGAGAGGGAATGCGTGGTGAGCAAATAGATAAGCGTGGCGAGAGCAAGAAAGCACGCACACAAGGAACTAACGCCCTGAGTGATCACAGCAGCAGCAAGAGCAGCAGCAGCAGACGCCATCATCATCATGGCAGTGCTCAACAGCCGTGTGTTGGCCATATTGGAATGGACGCTTTGTGATTCGAGAGCAGACGGAGGGACGTGGACTTCGCGCCGAGACATGGGTGGGTGGGTGCCTTCTACTGTACAAGGTTTATTTTCGGCTTGTGTTTTCTAGTTCTCGCAAGGCCTATGGTGCATCGGTTGGTGGCAGGGTGCGGTGCGACTGCCGTCATTTCTGTGTGCTTGGTCAAGCGAATACCGTGTCTTCTTCATTGTAACCAAGCGAGCACCGGCACCGTGCCATGCAGACAGCACATGGCAGTGGAACCCCCAAGACAAATACCGCCGTCTGCTGTCAAAAAGCACACCATTAACACCAGGACCGTGTTCATTGTGTTGTTCAGGCACGCAAGATAGTGGTGCGGTTTTTTTGCTAGGAAGGGGGATGGGCAAGAACACCGATATCGACCGGTTACACACCTCGCTAAGGTTCATCTTGGCGGTGCAAGCCGTGAACACCATGCGCTTCTGCCGTCGATCCGGCACCGGGAACTCGATCTTGCGGTCCAATCTCCCCGGACGCAACAGAGCCGGGTCAAGCGTATCCGCCCGGTTCGTCGCCATGATCACCTGATACAGACAAGCAAGTGGTGGATTTAGGCGACGATAGCATCGCGTGTGCGGGAAAAAAAGCCCGTACAGTAGATGATAAACCACCACCTGGTCGTCAGTCGCCCGAGACACGAAACCATGGAGCTCCCCGCAAAAAAAAAATGGTGAGCCTAGAGAGGTGTGTCGAGGAGCCAAATCAAGTCTTGCCTCGCCTCATAAACACCATATCGACGGCAGCAGCAAGGTATCATTATCACACGCTGCTGTTACCGTCATTAGTCACCTTAACGTTGGTGCTCTGGTCGAAACCGTCCATCTGGTTGAGCAGCTCGAGCAGGATTCGCTGCACCTCGCGGTCAGCCCCAGTCTGCGCGTCGAAGCGCTTGGTGGCTATGGCGTCGATCTCGTCGATGAAGACGACGCTAGGTGAGTTCTCCCTCGCCAGGCGGAACACGTCCCTCACCATGCGGGGCCCCTCCCCGAGATACTTCTGCACGAACTCTGACCCCACCTGTTGGTATGGACAAATGGAAATTTGTCATTTACGCCGTTCGGACGATTCAAGACGGGGTGACGGCAGCGTGAGCGAGTGCATGCACCTCTGCGGTTGCTACACACAGGTTTGACCACGATGGGTATTCCTGCGCGTGGGTAGCTTCAGGACTGCTCTAGTCCCTTGAGTCTCATGGTTATCTTCTCCTGTTGTTCACCGGACACCGCCCACACCGAACCTATGGATCCCGACAAAAATAGGGCAAGCATAGATTAGGCGGAACAGAGTCGCGGACAACGGACGCTATCGTAGACCTAACGGCGAATGTACACGGGCGAGCGGCACAGGCCGGTACTGCTGGACACTGGTTTTCAAAGAGCAAGACAGACTTCCGTTTATAAAGAACAGCAGCTGCTACTGTCTACAAGAGGACCGAGGCAAGCCAAAATTTAAAAAAATACTCACCCAAATCAGGAGCGTATTATGCTTCCCCTCAAAAACAATCTTAAAACCGTACTGGTAGCCGCTACTGCTGTAACTGCTCTATTAATAGTGACGAGCATGCTTGGTGTCCGACTGGTGTCCCCTCGCCAGCACTTACCACGCTGATGAACGAAGCGCTCGTGGCGTTAGCTACGGCCTTGGCCATCATTGTCTTGCCCGTTCCCGGAGGACCGTACATGAGCACGCCTCTCGGGGGGTCGATGCCGATCTGCTTGTACAGGTCGAAGTGCGTCAGCGGGAGCTCAACCGCTTCCTTCACCTGAGTTAATGGGTCGAGAGGGAGGGAGGGAGGAGAGGGACTGCTTCAGAATAGTAGGAAAAGCACGCTGCTGCCGCTCCTCGTAGTATTGTCCAAGTAGTGTCACCATGGTTAGTACAAGCAGAGTTCCCTGTTCTAGGCCGCGATCGTCCAGGGGATGTTGGCCGGCCTTGTATCGGGCACCCGGTATTAATGCGAGACAACTTGAATATTCCATCTGTGCATGCCACGAGACTTCACCAGCTTAACCAGGGCAACCGGCCTTAAACAGGAACCTCTACTGCTGTAACTCAAACTGCTGTTCTCCGGCGGGGAAAGTGCAATTCCGCAATCCCGGCAGCGAAGCTTGCAATAACGCGGAATACGGAGGTTTGTGTAGGCACAACAACAACGAAGCTTGCAAAATGCGTCCAAGGCCACAGATTGAAGAACCACAGGCAGCGAGAGCGCTTGGAGCACGAAAGAAAAGGAGACCCACGAGAGACAGGAGTAACCCTTCACAGACCGACCCACCGCCCACTTCCTGCTTCAGACTAAACAACGACAGGTGACACTTGTGGCACGAACGCAATGGAGAGAGATATATACACAGAGAAAGATCCCCCCACCCACCTCCTGCTTCTGCATGTCCATGCCCCCGATGTCGTGGTATGTCACGTCCGGCCTCTCCTGCATGAGCTGGATCGTGGAGTCGCTCTCCGGGGGCAGTATCTCCACCACGCTGTGGCTGTGGCGGTGCAGCGCTACCGACGTGTTCGGCTTTAGCACCTCTCGGTCCAGGGTACTCAAGATGCGAACGAAGTAGTTCGATCCCGCCGTCGACCCTACAAGATTGATACATACACGATGTACGCGGGCCGGGTGGGTGTGCGGATGTTTAACGGACAGCAGTCTTTCAATATTTCATGAGTATGACACAACGAATCCATCTCTATCGAAGAAAAGAGTCTTCAGATAGATTAGCAATGAATCCATAGAGTCCGCAAAAGTTGTGTTTTTCCACGATTTCCCGAGCAGCACACGGTGATATCTCCCCCGTGGGCAGTCTTTTCGTGATGTGGTGGTGGTCTGTCGGCTACTCGAGCTGCGGGAAACGCGAACGTACACTTCGCAGTTAGAACCAAGCGGGTGTGACGAGGACTAACAGCGGCAGAGGATTAACGACGATGACTGCCCCGTCTCTTTTCCCCTTTTCCGGCATGTACCAAATGCTCGAGTGCTATACATGGTAAACCTCAGATCCACCCTTCATTGAGTGAGGCAGGTGTTCTTGCTGGCCGGGCACCAACGGAATCTGGAGGGAAAAACACCCGAGGACGTGTCATGAAAATGATCCGCTACCATCGGTGATTCGCAAAACAGAACATGGCCCGGGCAGTGCAACAGCAGACTGGGTAAAAGCCCTTACGCAACGCGAAAAATGTCTGTGTCTTCTGCTACGCGGTCGAGGGAATTCAATTTACCCAAGTTGGACTTTCCCGAGCTCGTAACAAAAATATCGCTGCAATTGTCAGCCTGGCCAGTATCGAAACGGCTGTCGTGATAACAGCATGGGACGCGTCTACTCTCGTGGTGCGTCCTTCAAGCGGAGTTAGTCTTAGGTCTTCACCGACGCAATGTTGCAGCAGACAGACACGCACCCTCCACCGAGAGCTTAGTCTACAACGGTGGCCGTGTGTCTCAGCTGTTGACCTCGCAGCCTTCTGCAGAGGTTTGCCACGGAATTGACTCTCGCCGCAGTCACAAGACTGGGAGATATTGTCTCGCTTTACACCCAAGAAATCGGCGCGCGGAAAGCGATAGACCGTGCGCTGCAGTTGCCTGCATACGATGACACAGATCTCTTTGCATGGCACAAGATACGGGCCGTATACAGACTGTTTGTTTGCCTTGAGTGAATCAAGACTCACCGACGATGCCGTAGTTCGCGTCGATGATCTCGTTGAACTGCCCGATCACCAGCGGCACCGACTGGATCCGCTTGATTTCCTCCTTCGCACGGATGAGCTCCCGCTTCAGGTTTTTCATCTCGTCCTTGATGTACTCCTCCTGCGCAGCACCAACCCGAAAACATGTGGTACGGTTATTCGTCCCGGCGTGTGATAGCGTTAGATGAAAGCGGGTTCGAGGCGGGTCTCTCAGCAGGTGCGATCGGATTCATGCACCCGAGGGGCAACTCAGCAGCTGACCCGAGAAAAGGCGGGCGTCTGCAACAAACTTCAACAACCGCCCCCCGACATAAAAATACACAATAGACGAGGGATGGCCTCTCCTGCGTCCGGCTCATCAGGGTACCCAACGTCAACCTCCCCCCTGTCACGAAGGCACCGAAGCGTCCGCATAAGGTTGTTCACATCGCCGTTGTTGTGCCAAATGGTGGAACCCAAGCGAAGCCTATGCCTACGACAGCCATAAATGGGTTTTCTCCGAAAAAGTGCGGAAGCCCCCCCGTGCCGTGTACATGGATTGCAGGCCGGAAACAGCGGTGCTCCCAAGGGTGCATGCCTGCAGTCAATTCTCTCCTCCTTGGTGGTGGTGGGGGGGGGGG